TGAGCTATGTGGGACGCCTCCTCAGCATGGCCTGATCCAAACTGGCGAAACCCTGGGCTGCTGAAGCGGAGGTGCGAACTTAACCACTCAGCCCCCGGGCCGGCCCCAGGAATGTCTTAATTATGCCTTAGTCTTTGCTCTTCTATGTAACTTGGAATCAGCTTATCAAATTTATTAATGTCCTTGTTTTGGTTTTGATTGGAATCATATTGAATCTATAAGTTGATCTGAGGAGAATTGGCATATATTTATGATAATAGGTATTCTTATCCTGAACAGGGTAATCTCTCCATTTATCCAGGTCTTTAACTTCTTTTTATGAAGGATATGAAAACTTGATTCAGGTCTTATACATGTTTTATTACATGTATTTCTAGTTTCCTTAGAACTTAGAAGTCCTAAAAATTATTTTTCCTAATTATTCGTGTTGGTATCTTGAAATACATTTGATTCTTCTGTATTGTATGTTCAGCTATCTTGCTAAACTCTCATTATTTCTAGTAATTTATAGTTATTAGGTCTTGTCTATGTCACTAATGAAGAATGAAGTTTTTACTTTTTTTCACATCAAATTTTGTATTTTTAAATTTTGTTCTTATAGGAAGACTAGGACTCCAGTATAATGTTAAGCAGAAGCGACAATAATGGGCATCTTTATCTTGTTCCTGATTTTAAAGGGAATGCTTCTAACAGTTTACCATTATTGATGTTTGCAATAGAGTTTTGGTATATATCCTTTTTCAGATTAAGGAAGTTCCCTTCCATTCCTATTTTGTCAAAAATATTTTAAAAATTATATATTGGTATTTTGTCAGATGTTTCTTCTGCGTCTACTGAAGTGAACATGTGGTTTTTCTACTTCAGTCTGTTAATGTGATGAGTGACATAGTTTTTTTTTTTTTTTTTTTAAGATTGGCACCTGAGCTAATATCTGCCTATCTTTTTCTTCTTCTTCTTCTCCCCAAAGTGCCCCAGTACATAGTTGTGTATTTTAGTTGTAGGTCCTTCTGGTTGTGTTAATGTGGGACACCGCCTCAGCATGACCTGATGAGCGTTGCCATGTCTGCACCCAGGATCCGAGCCAGCGAAACCCTGGGCCACCAGAGTGGAGCGTGCAAACTTAACCACTTGGCCACGGGGCCGGCCCCTGATGTAGAGCTTGCTAATGCTAAACCACCTTTGCATTTCTGGGATAAATGGATCCTCATGTATTATCTTTTTTCTTTCTTTGAAAATAAATATCTGTCACTGGATTTGATTTCCTAATATTTTGTGTGGAATTTTGGTATCTCAGTTTATGAGCAAGATTAGTCTATAGTTTTCTAGTCTCACCTGCCACCTCCTGGTTCTGATGCCCTGCTCTCATAGAATGCCTTGGGGAGTAGTCTCCTCACTGTTTTCTGGAAGAGTTTACATCACGTTAAACAGTGTTTGAAAGTGGTAGAAGAAACCTCCAAAACTCCTTAGGCCTGTGTGTGTGTGAGAATATTTTTTGCTGTTTATTCAGTTTCATTATAGAATTAATTAAACTCATTTTTTTCAGATGGTCCTTAAGTCTTTTTCTTTTCTTTTTGCTGAGGAAGATTTGCTCTGAACTAACGTCTGCTGCCTCTTTTCTCTTCCTCTTTTTTTGCTTGAGGAAGATGGTCCCTGAGCTAACATCTGTGCCACTCTTCCTCTATTTTTTGTATGTGGGACGCCTCCACAGCATGGCTTGATGAGTGGTGTGTAGGTCTGCGCCTGGGATCCAAGGCTGCAAATGCCAGGCCGCTGGAACGGAACGGGCGAACTTAACCCCACTGTGCCACCAGGCCAGCTCCCCTAATTTTCCTTTTTAATAAAAGATTTTTAAGGCTGTGAATTTCTCTTAGTACACTTTAGCCCATTATGCTAGGTGGCATTTTCATTATCTTTCACTTCTGAATAGTATTTTATTTATTTTATGATTTCTTCTTTGACCCACACCTTATTTAGAAGAACGATTTTTAATCTCCAAATATATATGAATTTAAAAACTTTTTAATTCTCTGATACTTCTGCTTTTGATGATACATTTTTTGACACGTTTTATCCAGTATGTTGATAGCGTGTGACTGCTGTGATGCTGATCCTTAGAACTTTGCTGGTATGTATTTCATGACCTAGACTTTTTTACATGTTCCATGTGTGCTGAACACAGTGGCTATTTGTTTAATTTTTGAGTATGCAGTTCATTTTTCTCTCTAAATCCTGCTTGTTAATGTGTCACTTTCTTTATCTTCACTGATCTGTGTCTCCTTGAGTGTCAGTTACACGTGTGTTGATCTTCCTCTGTTTTGCTGCTTCGTCACTGCCTCCCTGTCGTTCTGTCGTATGTTTTGAGGCCATTTTAATAAGTGTATTCAAGTTTAGTATGGTTACACCTTTCTGGTGAATTGAGGCAATTGACAGTAACCCTCTCTAGCCCTAATAACTTTTTTCTTGTTGTTTAAGCTTGTTTTATCTTTAATAACATGGCTATCCTCGCTTAGTTGTCCTAAGTATTCATTTGTGTCTCTTTTTCTGTCTGTCATGTTCAACCTCTCTGTGACTCTGTGTTTCAGGTGTATTTCTTATAAAGAGCATATATGTGGATTTTAAAAAATCCAATTTGAAAATCTCTGTTTTTTAAATTGGTACGTTTAGTCCATTTTCTGATTCCTGATACATTTGGTTTTAAAGCCATCGTCTTGCTTTTTGCTTTTTATTAGTTTTGCTCTTTCTATGCTTTTTTCCCTTCTGTTGGTCTTTTTTTTTTAAGTTGAGTGTTCTCCACAGTCCCCACTTCCCCACTAATATGGAAGTTACACACTGTATAAAAATAAATTCTTTTAGTTATCTTTGAAATTTTACCACACATACGTATTTAGAGTGTAAACGAGTAGCTTAATCTCCTTCCTTAATAATACCAGAGCTTTAGGACAGTTTAGCTCGGATTACTTCCTCCCAGTTAGTGTCTTAGTTCTGTCTTCTTTTTGACCGCGCCGGTTAACTGTCATTATTATAACATAAGATGATATCTGTTTAGCTTTCCCTAGATGCTTTTTATTTCTTTGCTCACCTTCCCTTCTTGTATTGCAGGACTTCCCTCTGAAAACGTTTCTCTGCTTCCCAAAGGTCTTTGCTGTGCTACAGCTTTAATGTTGTGGTGTATTGCTTTCTGTTTAACCTACTTGTTATAAGCTGTGGTCTGAAGCTGTGGATTCATGCATTTCATCAGTTCTAGAGATTTCTCAGCCATTATCCCTTCTATTATTGCCTCTAATGCACCCCTTCATCTCCTGGGACTCCAGTTAGACATGTATTAAATCTTCTCATTCTACTTCTCTTAGCTTATTTTCCCCTTACTTCCCATCAGCAGATCTCTCTGTGCTGCTCTTTGGGTACATTATTCAGATCTCTTTTTTTCCTCCAGAGAAGATTTGTGTTTGCTCCGTCAGGGAGCTGGGGGCTTTCTAACCTGGGGCCATTCCAGCCCCCTTCCAGGATCCACCTTCGTATAGGAGTTAATTTTGCCCAGAGTTTGGTCACCCTGTCGCCGTGAGTGGCCTCAGATGAGCCACAGCTCCATGTGCACTAAGCTCTCTGCTCTGTCACCTGCTCAGCGCCTTGCAGCTCTCTTTTGTTTCCAAGTCCAGCAACATAATGGAATATATCTTCATCAGGATCTTGTTAGGAAGAAGGTCCCTTCAGATTCTCCAGTCTGTAGTACTGTCAGAAGCAGAAGCCCCAGGATACTGTTTTTTACCAATGGAGGCAGTAAAGATTTAAAAAGCAATATAAACCTCTAGTGTATTTGAAAGTAGTAAACCTGCTTGCTCATATATTGGTGGCAGGGTATAAATTGGTACAATCTTCTGCAAAAAGAATTTAGCAATGTAGACGAGCCTGAAAAATGAAAGGGGGCATTTTAAATGTTAATTACGATTGTCTGATGGTGAGCTTTATGGATGGTTTTTTTTTTTTTTTTTTGAACTTTTGAATGTTTTCCAGGAGTCTACATTGTCATTACAGTATCTAGTAATTCCTCTAAGGAAGTAAAAGTTACCTGAAGTTTTTTCTGCAGATTTTTATGTTGATATGTATAATTGGAAAGATTTAGAGCCCGTTTATGTTTTCTGTACTGCTCTGTCCCCAACTCTTACAACAATGCCTGCCTCAGAAAGGTGCTTGAAACTGTTCAGTGAGTAAATGAAATAAGGTCTCGATTTTATAAATTAGGGTTACGGAGTGTTGATGTGTTCCTGCTTTGATGTGGGTTCCCACCCGCTGTCTGTTCAGTTGATGGTTTGAGTTAATTGGGAACCTGGGAAGAAGTTAGATTATAGAAATCAGGTGCCTTGTATTTTAATTCCTTCCTCGTTGGACCAGCTGGTTCTCACTTTGAGGCGAGAGCTCTATGTAATGGCTCTCCTGAGCCCTCTGGGGGAACTTTGCAGAAGCTGTCACCTTCCTGAGACAGTGGTCTTTTCCCTTGGGGTGGCCCAGGGGTCCTCCGAGGAAATAATAGGTAATAAATATCATGAGGTACAGGTGCTTCTACTTCTTTTAGCATTAAAAAATGAACAAAAACAGGGAAAATGGACAAATAATGGTTTCTAATGGATTTAAGGGGGAGCGTGAGGGTGTGGCAAGGGCCTGGCCTGAGAGAACTTGAGGGGTTGATAGTTGATTTTTTGAAGACCTTGTTAATGAAATTCTTTGAAAAGTGAAATATCTTGAAAGGGTAAGGAAGAGACTGAAGCTCCCAGAGTGACAACCAGGGTCTGGATGTCCTGCGTCTTCTCCTCTGGACTAAGGAGACAGGCGTCCATCGGGACAGAGATCCAGCCAGCCAGAAGGTGTCAGTCTGGGACCCTCCCCTCCCTTTCAACTAGAAGATGTTGAAACCGCTAGATAGGCGGTGAAGACTGTTTCCTCCTCACTTGGGTTGAAGATATCTGTTTGGCTTACTGTTTGCTTCTTCTTGGTCCTGTGAACAGATATCGCCAGTGAGTTCAAAGAGCAGTTGCAGACACTGATACCATTTGTGTTAAACCCTGCTAACTTAATGGAAAAGGAGATCAATGGCTCAAAAGTCACCTGTCGGGGGCTGTTGGAGTATTTTAAGGTAAATATATGTTTTAATGATTAAAATGTTGACTTTTGGCAAAACTGATCTGGGTTGTAAGCTAACTTGAATGTCAGTATTTTAAAGTGTAGGGGAAAGTTTCACCGCGGAGATGGTGGGAGGCATTTTCAGGTGTTAGTGTCCTTCCAAGAGTGGGCCACTGGGGGGCAGCATCTGTCCAAGAACCAAATGGATATTCTCTGCACTCTCTTAGAGGAGTAATTACTGTGGCTAAAGGAAGATTGTTCCTCAAGGAAGCTGGTGTGGACAGGAGGTGGTTAGGAAGTTGCTGTGAGTAGGAGGAGACGGCATCTAGATGTGACACGACTACCTCAAGGCGGATGGTCACTGCCCACAGGTGGTGGTGAGGCCAGTGTGCATGGGGAGTCTGGTGGGAGTCCTAGCCCTGGTAGGCTCGTGCTGCTTGAGAACATTTTTAGTTAACTAAACATGCTAACATGCACTCAAAGGTGTGTTGTGTTTTTGCTAATTCCTGGGTGTTGATCTAGGTCCTTAGGAAAATGCGGTTGTATGGTCACTGTTTCTTAAACTATGATTAAATATGACCGAGTGACATTTTTCATAATCATTTTTATGTTTATGTTCTAAGGCATATATTAAAATTTACCAAGGGGAAGATCTGCCTCACCCCAAATCCATGCTCCAGGTAAGCAGTTCTTTGACGTCCTCAGTGATGTCTTGGTTACTGGAGTTGACCTGTGTACGCCAGGCCAAGTCCTTGGAGAAGAGAATGCTGTCGTCTCCTTTCCCATTGTGTGGGTCTGATAACAGCACGTTTCCCAGCAGGGTGACTGCCTTCCGGTTTTCTTCTCTGTTCTCATGGTGGTGCAGTTAAAACAGAACGGCCTCTCACAGTGCCGGTCTTCCCACCAAACACAGTGTAGAAAACATTGTCTTATTATACCCAGATAAAACATACCCAGTTTTGTTAGGTCATTTTCCTGTTACCTGTGGTCTACTTTAGTAGAGCATGTCCTGACGTACCTATTTACTATTTGCTCATCAGGTTTTTTATTTTCAACTACTTTTATTTTCAACATTTTGATATTTTCAAGATGTTATTTTGTTAAAACATATACTTTCCAACTTTCGTGTGTTGAACCTAAGGCTGTTTACTGCCAAATGTTTATTTCTTTAGTAGCAAAACATTTTCACAAAGGAAGCCTTGAGCTTGGGATGGATGTTGTAAAGATAAACTTTTTCCCTTTTTTTTTTTTTTTTTTTTTTTTACTTACGTCTTTTTTTTACATTTAAAATTGAAGCAGGGGCTGGCCCTGTGGCTGAGTGGTTAAGTTCGCGCACTACGCTGTAGGTGACCCACTGTTTCGTTGGTTCGAATCCTGGGTGCGGATATGGCACTGCTCATCAAACCATGCTGAGGCAGTGTCCCACATGCCACAACTAGAAGGACCCACAATGAAGAATATACAACTATGTACCGGGGGGCTTTGGGGAGAAAAAGGAAAAAAATAAAAATCTAGGGAAAAAAAAATTGAATCAAAAGAAATGATGTTTTCAGAGGTTTAATTTATGATAAAGATTCTTATGTATAAGAACATTTTTTGGCAGAAAATTTGGCAGAAAAAGTGTATTTCAGTTCATAAATTGAGCTATATAAAAGCTTAAAATATAGCAGGAGAATAATAAAAAAAGGAAGAATGAGGAATAGAGTGAGAAGAAATTTTGACTTGGTTATTTGTGGAAGAATGTTAAAAGAGGAAGGATTTATAGTTTCTGTTTTCCTTTCTTGACAGGCCACTGCCGAAGCCAACAATTTAGCAGCTGCAGCCTCTGCCAAGGACATTTATTATAACAACATGGAAGAGGTGTGTGGGGCATGTGTCTTGCTCGCAAGTATCTACAGCCTGGGCATTGTTGCTGACTTCAAAAGCCCAAACTTGATCCTGTTTAATGTCTCTTAAGATGATGAGGCAAAATGCTGTGTTCAGGTCATCCTGGTCCTTGGGCCTTCTAACCGTTACCATTTCTAACAAGGCTTCCTTACCGTGTCTCTGCTCTCATGGATCAATTGCCCTGGCTGTTAAAGTGTGCTTTTCAGAGGCGGTGAACTCAGAGTTTGTTGGTCTTGGTCATCATTTTAAAGTTAATTTCTAGTATCTAAGAATATTCTAACCTTTTCAGTGTTTTCACTTGTTTTATTTGGCACTTGTTTTTGAAGGGATCTTCAACAAGTTGTGTCTTTATTCTTCTTAGGTTTGTGGCGGAGATAAACCTTATTTGTCTCCAGACATCCTAGAGGAGAAGCACTCTGAATTCAGACAACTTGCTCTAGACCATTTTAAGAAGACCAAGAAGATGGGTGGGAAGGATTTTAGCCTTCGTTACCAGCAGGAGCTGGAGGAGGAGATCAAGGAACTCTATGAGAACTTCTGCAAGCACAACGGCAGCAAGAATGTCTTCAGCACCTTCCGGACCCCTGCAGTGCTCTTCACGGGCATCGTGGCTTTGTACATAGCCTCGGGTCTCACCGGCTTTGTTGGTCTTGAGGTTGTGGCCCAGCTGTTCAACTGTATGGTTGGACTGCTCTTAATAGCGCTTCTCACCTGGGGGTACATCAGGTATTCTGGTCAGTACCGTGAGCTGGGCGGAGCTATTGATTCTGGTGCAGCGTATGTATTGGAGCAGGTAAGTGGTGCCAACGAGGAGGCTGAGGGTTGGTAATAGACAGATGTTTGTGCCTCTATTGTAAAGTATCTCTGTTTGGAAGAGTTTCATAGTGAAAGAAGGCATGAGAAACTTCCCCTGGCCATTTCTTTTCTGATAGGCATTATGTTTTATTATCCTTCTTTAGGATGGTAATATTTATTCCTAATATCTTGTTTCCATGCCTGAAAACTGCCCTTTAATGCAAAAAAAGTTGCAAACATATTGTGTCCCTCACGGGAAAATTGTAACTACATGTTCTTCAGACAGAGTTCCTGTCTGATTCTCTCTCCTATCCAAGGCTAGTTTACTTTACTGAAAATCAAAGAGCTTTGAAAAATATGAACTTAACAAAATTTTGTTTTGGGTCCTACTAATGGATGGCATCTCTTTAAAAAATCTTCCAAAAAGCCAATGGCTTTTGACGCTGACATGATCTCTAGGTGTGCAGGTACTTGCGACTCTGATTGGTTTCTTTTTCTGAGTAGCATGAATAGATCAGTTAAATTAGGAGCTTGTGGTGAAGCCGGGAGAGCTGCCCGCCCCACGCCAGTAACACCAGAGGCTCAGCTGACTCTCTTGGGAGGTAGCTGCTGCCACGGGCTCCCCTGGCCCCTGCATTTTCATTCCGCTAGTTTCTGTAATATACCACTGATGGAGACAGAGATTTTTGAAAGTTTATCCCCAAGGACTGCCTGCTCTCTTGATGCTGTGCTGTATTTTATTGACTCATGTGTTGCATAAATGGTCTTTTGCAGGCTACATCTCATATTGGCAATTCCACTCAGGCTGCTGTGAGGGATGCAGTTGTTGGGAGACCACCTGTGGATAAAAAAACTCAATAGCATCTTAACAAGAGAATCCGACAAGAACCTGAGCAGTCCCCACTGATTTCTGGGTTTCTGCCACGGCCACAGGTTCGAGTCCGGAGGATTGCAGATCTGGGGCCATCCGGGAAGAGCTGAAACACGGCACTAATAAACAAACAGACCTGTCCTGTGGCTTCAAATTCTTAAACACACTTCCATTTCTGTTGGGACCATTTCTTTTCTTTGCTGATGTAGGTCCAAGCCTGTGTCTATTTTTCTTACTGCTCTGCTTTGTGCACTTTATGGGGGAAAAAGCTAAAGGAAAAAACGGAAATGTGGTTTTAAGTCCTTTATGTGCCACTTAGTGCCTTTTTAAGATTGAATCCATGCTTTTGAAGACATGGTAGGGAGGGGATTGAGGATAACCTCATGAAAGATGCAGTTTTGGGGTGAAACTTGTGAGTTCTTTTATACCTTACTCTTTTGGGAAGGATTCTGTTTTTAAAAGTTTACAAAACTTGCAAAAGCTTCAGAACTAAAGACTGACTGAAAATGATGCCATTACACTTTAAAAATCTTATAAGAGTAGAGAATCCTGTTTGCCACGTAGTCTGGAAGAATCATACCATATTTAAATCTACCGTACGCTGAAATTTAAAGTCTTACCTGACAGACTGGCAGTTTTATTGGAGCATACTCTTTTTTTGCCTTCATTCCTCCAGCTTCTTTCTAGAAAAGAGGCAAGCATGCCTTGAAAAGCCAGAGTAGGTCATAATAAAAGGAATGACTTGATACTTTAAGAAAAAAGCTTGAATCTAAATGAACCATGTGACCTCTGATAAGTCACTTGAACTTGTGCCTTGGTCAGATTCACTGTTTGTTGGTTTATGTACGTGTCTGTCTTCAACAGGACTCACACTAACACACAGCTGTCGTTTGAGAAGTTTTGTTTTTGAGAGTTCTGCATGAGAACAGAACTTTATTAAGGATTCGAGGAAAGACATTACCAAACATTACTGCCTTTACTTGATGTCCTGTTTCATGTGGCTTAGCAGTAAATCAGGTCTTTATCCAAAACGTTTATTTGCATTCTCCTATGCACTAGCTGGTATTTTTATTAATAAAGCTAAAACTGTCAATTTTATTTAGCGAATCTTTCTTTTAACTTTGCTTTAGTCTGGTAGCTTTAAAATAGCTTTGGCTTAGTAAGGCCCAAAGTCCCACCCAAACATGGACAAAGCCTTAGAAGTAGCTAAGAATTCTTTTTTATTTACCTTGCTTGTGTGATAAAAAATTTTTATCTATTAGTTGCCTTTTCCTTTGATTTATAATGGTGAATTATTGTGGATTTTAAAACTTCATAAAACTTGCCTGCAAATATGTATATAAACATTCAGGTATGTGAGCCTTAATTCTTAAGATAATTTAATTTTTGTTGTGGGAGGGAGGTGGGAAAGCTTCGGCAAAATCAGTGTAAATTCTACATACGTGAAGTATGAATGGAAGGTGGAAGAAAGTAAGTCTGCTAGTATGTAATCTCTTTATCAAAGAATTTTCTTTTGACCACTTTAACACTTTACCACGCGAGTATTTTTATAAGTCCTGAATTAATTCCAAGCATTTTATATATTTTTTGTATTTACATACCATCTTGCCCTGAAGTTCTTGCTTTTCTATTTAGTCGCTGTTAAATTTTAGAAAAATTTCATCTTGTTCTAAAAACTGTTGACTTACGTATCGGTGATGCTCAGCTTTGACTGTTAGATTGAAAGCTTTGTTTTGAAATTTTGGTACATTTTTAGGTGGCCTCTCATTCTTCCTGAAGGTTCGTACTTATTAGCTAAAGGCCTTACAGGTGTTGAGATTCTTAGCTTTTAATGCATTCTAAAGCACATTTATAGATTTCAGAATAATTGTCTAAAGTGACCCTACTTTTAATGATGAGGAAAGGATGATGTGTCTAAAACTTATTTTAATGCAAAAGTATTAGATTTTTTAAAATTTAAAAATGTGATAATGTATAATTTAGTGAAATCTTAGGGTTTAGTTACTGTTTAAATTCACCATTTCTGTTTTGATCTTAAAGGAATAACTTGGTTTAATTACCCCAGGGAAGCCTTATTTTTTTGTCTTTATTGGTTAACAACTTCTGCCTCTGGAAAGTGTGTGTAAAGTTTTCTCAGTGAGGATTCTTATGGGTTTTCTTTGGCTCTTTTCTGCTTTTACAGTAAATTGGTGGTTTTATATCAGCTTTTTCAATAGAAAATGCATTCCCATTGCTGGCTGTAAGTAGTCCTGGGGAGATTTATAACTGGGTTGAAAGAATGTCTTTTACCTCTTAACTTCACTCAGCCTTTAATCTGTGGGTCAAGGACATGACTGAGGAGCCCAGACTGCAAGTGTTTGCTGGTGTTTGTGGCTCTGCCACTCCTGGGTGGGCTTTCCACGCAAGCGTTCTTAATTTGCACATTCCCAACCATATATGGGGCATGATCCTAGTAACATATAAAAGGAAGTTTTTAAAACTTTCTATGAAAAGAATTCATTTCAGGAGAAATTAAATGTTAAGTTTTTTAGTACTTCTAGTTAAGAATTTCCAGTTCTTATGGTAAAAATAGTAGAATAAAAATTCAGAGTTTTTCACTGAGAAATCTTTCTAGATTGGTTCGTAGACAGAATGAGGGCAAACTGTCAGGTGTGATGATGGAGCGCCTTCAGTCTGTACCCCGTCCAGCAGTGTACCGAGAAACCTGTTGGTTCACGGAGGGTCGTCTGTTAACACCTACTTTGTACTGCGTAACGTTGCCTGTGAAGATTGTTTTTCCTTTACCCGTTCTTTCTCTTTTACTCACGTGAAGTAAAATGCTTTAGACAAACAGACAAATAAACGGACAAAGAAACTGCCTTGTCCTGGCAATATGCTTCTTTGGCAGGTCGTACCCAGCATTCCCCCCTGCCCTTTAACAATGGTGTCTGGATAGGGCAAGTTTGGATGAGTGTGTCTGGATGGGTGAGTTACAGAGAAGTTAAGCAGGCTGATTTAACTCCAGGCAAAAGCGATAGAGAACAAATAGTTTTATTTTTTCCCCAGAACTTTTTGGAATGTAACTTATTTGGAAGTCTTCATAGAACTTTTTTGCCCCCATAGAATTATTGAAATGTAATTGAGGATGATTAGGATGGCTGTCATCTAAGGTAGCCAACATGGGCTACATCATTCCTCTTACATTTATATCCAACCAAATTTTAGTCAAGGAATAAAGGCATAATGAAGACCAGCTAACAACAACAAAAAAGTACAGACTATTTGTTAAAGTGATTTTTGTAAATGGCATTAAGAAGCCCCTTGTAAAAGACTGTCTGCAATTAAATGGTTTTCCTTACATTAAGTCATATTGGAGCTGTGTTTTGGGTCGTGGTTCTCATCTGCCTTGGAGTATGTAAGACTCACCTGGGAGGCTTCTTTAAAAAAATTCAAACTCCTGCCTTTATACCCAGGGATTGCCCCAGTTGGTCTGGGCTGTGGCCCTGAACTCACCATTTTTATAAACAGCATCGCAGGTGGTTCAGAGACCACAGGGAGAGAGGCTGCTCCATGGATGGGAAAGTGCAATTCAGTATTGTCTGGAGGCAAGTGGACAGTTTTACCAGAGGCTCAGAGTAGGGAGTCCACTGGCAGATACAGTCACAGAGTTCACAGTGTTCAGAGTAATAAGGATGTCTTTAATGTACAGGGTTATCTAAGCTCCTTAAAGCCATTTTTGTAAATTAGGATGTCGTAGTGCCTTCTCTGAAAAATGAATGTACAAGTATCCTATTTACTCACAGATGTAATTATGATTAAAAAAAAAGTATTTTGAAAGTTTTCTTTTAAAAAGCAAAATTCAGCGCTGTGACTTGAACCCCTAAGTCTTTGATGCCCCGAAAACCTTAAGCCATAATAAAGATAGTGAACAGAAAGGAAGGAGAGGATCATAACTTTGAAAACTGGAGATAAAAGTACCCAGATGAGGAACCTTTCAAAATAGATCTAGGGGCAGAAAGATTTTAAAAGAAATATTTCTTCCGTGGGACAGAATTTCATGTGGCAGAACTAAAATATACGTGTAGTGTCCTTGTGACCAAGGGAAGGTTGCGTTTGGTTCCCAGACTTTCCAAGTTAGATGGTAAATCCTGTTGTGGACTTAAACCTCAAAAGGAGTTAATATTCATCTTGAATATATACACGTTTTCCTCTCAGATTTCTTTTTCTTTAAAAAAATTGTTAAAAGTACTTTCTCCTAGACCATTTTTGAATGGCTTTAAAATTTAATATACTTTTTAAAAAGTGCAATGGGATGAGATGATGCTATTAGTATATTAAAAGATGCACGTTTCTGTTTTTTAGTTGTAAGGTCATGTAATGGAATAAAGATCACAGCACCATGTTACCTGTGTTTTTTTTTCTTTCTCTGTCTTTAATATGGGGAGATTTATGACACAGATTTGGGCTTGGCAAGGCAAATAAGGTATCTCAGGGGAGGGATAACTCGGTGTTGGGGTGGTCATGGTAATGGGGTTTGAGTGCGTCCGCTCTCCCTGCCCCACAAAGCAGTGCTGACTGAGGATCCTACAGGCGTGCGGCAGGGGCTGTGCGGCCGGCGCCGCTGCTTCACGTCAGACACCAATTGTGTTTACAGTAACTTGGGTTTGTGAGGACCCCTTGGATTCGTAGCACTTTCATTTGGTTGCCCCATATAGCGCCAACTGGTTAAATGGTTCCTCTTTGGGGTGGGGTGAGGTGGAGCTCTGTTGGGAGCTTTCTCTTTCACTTGGTGACCTTGGAGGCAGTGGGGAGGCTGCATTGAACTTCTCCAGCACTGACTAATCACGAGACATGCCCTGTTTAGCCCTACGATAAAAAGATTTCTTCCTAGTTTGAAATACTGGGTGAGGTCAGTAGCCTGGTGATCATATGGCAGGTGCCGTGCTAGGTTTTGCACTTGAGTTCATCACAGCTTAGTAGGGCAAGGGCAAACCTAGAAGTTGCTATGATGTGAGGGTTATGGTGAAAACCTGAGGGCTGCCGTTGGAGGGTTGATGCCCTGTCAGCATAAGCTGGAGAGAAGGGAAGTATGGAGGAGTCAGGCAAACTGGCTTGTCTTTGGTACATTGACATTCTTGCCATTATTTATTTATTTATTTGTTTTGAGGAAGATTAGCCCTGAGGTAACATCTGCTGCCAATCCTCTTTTTGCTCAGGAAGACCAGCCCTGAGCTAACATCCATGCCCATCTTCCTCTACTTTATATGTGGGACGCCTGCCACAGCATGGCTTGATGAGTGGTGCCATGTCCGCACCTGTTATCCGAACCGGCAGACCCCAGGCCGCCAAAGCGGAACGTGAGCACTTAACTGCTGTGCCACCTGGCTGGCCCCAACATTCCTGCCCTTAATTACCATATATCAGTTTGCCAAAGATGAGTGGAACTCTAATTAGCTTAATCAAAAGAAAAAAAAGAACTGTGACTAAATGTCTAGGAGTAAAACTGACATCAGGCACTGGAAGAACTCAAATGTCAACAGGGCTATTATCTCAAGTACATACTGGCTGCTTATCTGCTCTTGTAGATGGATTTCCTCTGAGCTGCAGGGGAGGGCAGGCACAAATGGTTCCAGGCTTACATCATCCGACTTTAATGTCCCGAGAGGAAAGAGGTGTTTTTTTTGTTTTAATCCACTGCCTATTAAAAAAATGTGTGTGTGTGTATATATATATATATATATATATCTCCATCCTAGAGAAAGCTTCTAATTGGTCTAGCTGGAGTCAGATGATCCTTCTAGGGTCAGTCACTGTAGGCTGGGGGCTAGGCTGATAACCAGCCAGATCTAGGTCACAAGTCTCTAGTCAGGGCAGTGGGGCACTATGATTGCAGCCCCACCAGAACCATAGTGTCACCAAATGAAAGTGCCGAACAGACAAAAACAAACGTCCACTACAGTGACCGGTTACTCAAACTGGTAATTTAACGTAGTGCAATGAGAGAGCCTGAAACGTGTCAGGAATGTTCTTTTAAAGGGCAGTGGAGGTGGTTATGTTGCACGTTTACTTGGAATGTTACTGGATGCAAATACAGGTTCGTTATCCACTGCATAAGAGGGGCCAAGTAAAAACTGGAACTTGAGGCTTATGGCAAGGATAGAGTTTTTATTTCAGGTGACATCAGCTGGAAGACAAGAGTCAGCCTTTAAATTCGTTTGGTCTCCCCAAAGATGGGAGGCAAGGGGTTTTAAAGGTTGCGAGGAACGTGGCTGCTTGTAGGGACGGGGAGCCTGTGGCCTTGCTGGTTGGCACTTTCCCACCAGCCTGCATTTGGCCTTGTAAGGCTGCTTGCGGGAAGAGGGATGGCAAGATAAGAGAATCTGCAGGTGGATGTCCTTGGTTGTCTGCTTCTGTGATGGGTGGAGTATTCTGGTGCCAGGAAGCCAAGGAGTTGGGGTGTGGGAAGCGTCAGCTTCTAGATATTTTCTGGATATGAGTTTCCTTGTAATAAAACTTCAAAGGACCGGTAACTAGCCAAAATGTTAGCATGAGGCCACCTGGGCTCTAAGAATTTGTAACTTCTATTTGCCTTATAAAATTCAGGGATACAAAGATTTAAAAAAACCAATATTTACATAAGAATATAACTTAGAGAAGCAGGGAAAGGGAATGAGTACCATGTATGCTGGGTTTAATGTAGGGGATCCATATCAGGGCTGGTATAAGTCCCCCCTATTTTATGTTCATTGCTCAATCTTGAGGGATTTGGGGCAATAACCAATCTAGCTAGTTCTGAATTCTGCTGATTGCTGTTGAATCGAGGCATAGGTCTGTGTTTGAAGAATGAGACTGCTTTTCTTCTCCCTTTAGGTTGACATTTTTATTAGAACTTTTGTACCTTGTTTAACAGTTTGGAACAACATCCAAAGGCACAAGTATCTGACCAGAAGGATAAGAAGTATAGACAGCCCAAATTTTAACAGTCCCTGAAAAATAGACAATCCCTTGGGGAATCCAAGAAAATAGTTCTGAAAAGCAATCTGGACCTGGTACCTCTGAGGATACCTGCTGATAAGGGGCATAGCTTGAACCATCTCATTGAACCAGTCTCTTAGTAAGGCAGTGATGCAGGTGGACTCCCAAAGTTAGGCCTATATTGTGTAAGCAAGTGACCAGGTATTTAATAAGAAGTATTTCTAGGTAAACAAAAAGAAAAAACAAGGTTAATGGAGCAAATTGTAAACCAGTTCCTGAACCCAGGGGACAGCCAATCAAGAAGATTTCTAGAAGTTAGGGTCCAAGCATCTTTTGCAGTATGAAATGTTTCTGATGTTATTGGGTGCTCAGGTATTTTTCTGAGTGGCTTACACAGCAACAGGTATCACTCTTAAGTTTATATCAAGATGTCTAGCTTCAACTTGCAGGGCTTCAGGAAAAAGGGCAAGTATAGTTCTCAATGATTTCAAATGAAAATGATGGAAAAAAAGGAAAACGTTAGTTTGGAGATTTGTACCCAATATTTAATGAGATTAGAAGAATTCAGGATCTAGTCCAGTTTACAGGTAGGAAACAAAACTTCAAAGACAATTGACAGGACCAAGATCCAACATCCACAAGTGTGTGTTATAGTTTTTATTGAAACATAATTTTTCTCTCTAAAATCACCCTCATTTTTACCAAAGATAGCCAAATTAAGACTCATTGGTTTGTAAAACTAGTCTAGTTTCAATAAACTTGGCCCAATTATTTACATAAGTACAGCAAGAATAGTAATTGATAATATAGACTCTTTTAAATCTGCTTTCCTGGAACTTTTGATGAGGAATCTCAGATTGAACTTTAAAGGCCTCTTTAGGCCAGAAAAGCCAGACCAAAGACTTACCAGACTCTACCTGTAATACCTACAGATTTGAGTGAATTACTCTTTTTTTGAGGTTCCTTATAATATTTTGGTTCCTTATACCTGCCAGAAAACTGGCCTTCTTTGCTTACCTGGTAAGGTTGCTGGGAACCCTGTAAGCAAGGTGTCAGGCCAATATTTCCAAGTGGCTTCATTCCTCAAAAACTGTCTGGTCATATCTGAGTCTATATATATTTTCCTCAAATATGACATTCCAGTCAAAGCTTTGGTAGTAAAACTGGTGTTTTCAATTGTGTCCTGATATAAGGAGAACATATTCTTTTTTTTTTTTGTTTTTTTGAGGAAGATTAGCCCTGAGCTAACATCTGTTGCCAATCCTGCTCTTTTTGCTGAGGAAGACTGGTCCTGAGCTAACATCCGTGCCCATCTTCCTCTACTTTATATGTGGGATGCCTGTCACAGCATGGCTTGCTTAGCAGTGCCATGTTCGCACCTGGGATCTGAACCAGCGAACCCAGATCACCGAAGTGGAACATGCGAACCTTACTGCTGTGCCACCGGGCTGGCCCCAGGAGAACATATTCTTATTGACCTTACACAAGCAACCATATTGCCATGAAAATAATGGTTATTCACTAAGAGTTTCCAGATTCTGGAGGGATCAGGTAGGGAGAAAAAGACAAATGTTTTAATTTTGTTTACAACAGTATAATTTACCAAATTATTATGTCATAGTTAGCTTAAGAGAAAAAAGTTTTCCTTAAATCTGAAAAAACAAAACATTAAAAAATATGCAATATTTCAAATGAAAAGTCATAAAAGTTATAATCATCCTTATCAGTTCATTTAGTTTCATGTAACCAACTCTTGATCTTCTGTTGGCAGTTTCATAAGGCCATCAGTTTTTCAGTTATAGTTCTGTAATTTCTCACCCAGCTCAATTTCATAATCTGAAAGTTTATCAGAAACCTGTATTCTAGAGCAAGTGTTGGAGTCCTTTCCATGAATCTCTCTGAAGATGAAACATATTTGTAAAAACATCAGAGTAAAACAGCTGTCTGTAAATGACAAAAGATTTAAAAATGACAATTGAAGAAACTTGGCTATTTCTGTGACATACAACACTTTAAGATAATAACCAGAATTATGGCTGACAATCAGGACAGATCAGAATTTTAGGAATGTTATATGTATATTTTTATTGAGTTCATGATAGTTTACAACATTGTGGAATTTCAGTTGTATGTTATTACTTGCCCATCACCATATAGGTCCTCCCCTTCACCCCCTGTGCCCAACCGTCAGCCCCCTTCCCCTGGCAACCAGTGATCTGTTCTCTTTGTCCGTGTGTTTTTTCATCTTGCACATATGAGTGAAGTCATCTGGTGTTCGTCTTTCTCTGGCTTATTTCACTTAACATGATATCCTCCAGGTCCTTCCATGTTGTTGTGAATGGGACGATTTTGTCATTTTTTTTATGGCTGAGTAGTATTCCATTGTATATATATATACCACATCTTGTTTATCCAATCATCAGTCGATGG